CCACTCCCCACAAAAACAAAATTAGCAACAATGATGAATATTACACAAGAAAATATAGAAGAAAACAATCAGCCAATTTCGGAAAGAATAATTTCACAAATACAATGTAGTGCCTTATTTCATAGGGCTGGGACGATACGCCAACTATGTGATCCGATTGGTATCAAGATACCTTGTTCACGATCCGATATGTATCACGATACTTGTATGTGGTCTTATCTGTGGTATGCAAGATATCTTCATAGACAGGATAGTCAAATACCTGGCACACTGACGATTTACAGTTGGCAGTGTCAAGTATGACACAACGGATGAAAATATTTACTTTTTCAATATTAATTTTCAATACTAATTAAAGTTCAGTGTAACAGCTGTTAAAGTAAACATTTAAGGTATGAATCGATATTTTTTACTTCGTGTATGACTGATCAATTAAAAAAATATCGCGATCTACCAATACATCAGTGTATTGTCCCACCACTATTATTTTATCTCCTGTAAGAAATACAACCCAACATCAGACTGGATGGAACTGCTATATCTTGAAGAAAATGTGAAAATGTAGCATGTTTGCTGTGGCTGTAGAGAACAGAGTAAAATAATAGTGTAGACGTGGAGCAGCATAAGTGAGTGACATGCTTGATGGCCAGGAGCATCCATGCACGTCTCAGGATTAATCTCACATGTGCACAGCACATATTCAATACCTTATCTCAGGGTTAGAACTTAATCATAATCTTCACCAGGCACTTAACAATCTGTTACAGAGTTGTAATCTGTGTAATGGTTAAAATAGAATTCCACAAAGAAACATCACTGGTCCTTCCTGAATATAAGTCATGGACTAGTGGACTTATGTTAATTTCAAACCCTGCATTCATTAAATAATATTGAGTGATATGGATTTCAGTTACTTTCATCAATGTCTACTGGATGTAAAAAAAGTCTTCATAAATATTCCAGAACATTCTTTGACTTTTTCAAGTCCACTCAACATGAATTGTTTGACAGGCATTACTTAGAAGTTAACGGGTGACAAAATAGACACAATTTATGGATAACAACTTCTTTAATACTGTATAGGCGACAACGATATAAGGATCTATACCGAAACGTCGCCTTTACAGTATTAAAGAAGTTGTTATCCATAAATTGTGTCTACTTTGTCCACTCAACATGTTTAACATACATCTTACAGAATGAACAATGGATAGGGAGTGTTGAGAAACTGTTTTTCATACAGTTCATATGTGTCCATTACTGTAAACGTCATTCAATAATCAATCAACAGTACTTGGATAATATTTCAGAATAAATAATATTCAATGTACATACAAAAAGTTTCAAAAAGATGATATATGGAGTATATAAAGTGGATTCCAATATCATCAAAGAATACTCATCAAAGAGTGCTCATATTTCACAGATTATCACACATATAGCAGTTGTTTTATTTTTGGTTCAATAAATATCTCAACTACAAGTCCACAACAAGTTAGAACAACAGGTACTTCTAAAAACCTCAAACCATTCACCTTTTGTCCACAGTGGGGAGGCCACTGGGGGGATTGCACTGTGCTACAACAACTAGACTAGAGTGTCCTTCCTACTTGAGCAAGCATTACACATAACACATTGTATCAGAGGTATAGATCATCCACTATATCTCAGGCAACATATTTTTTACTTGCTTTAAGGATCCGCAGACTGTAAATGTCTGCCGACAAAACATTGCACCAGATTCCTTTTCTCTAACCAAGGACCCACTAAAGTTAACTTATACTAAACATGGGAGTCAAAATGAAGTTTTTTCTTGTTTCTGCAATTGATCAGATGCATAGATGCACAACAGTACTTCATACTAAATTCCTCAGGTTTGCATTGCTTGAAGCATCAACTGTTTTGCAAGGTCTCCTCCAACATTAAATCATTTTTATTTTTTTCTTATCATTCGATCTGAAGTGGAGCCCCCAAAAATTAAATAATTGAAGTGTCACCTACTGTCATGTATTTTCCAGTTAAACATCTGTAAAGCAAGTAAAAGTTTTAAAAAAATGTGGCCTCAAGGAAACATTGTGACTTTACAACAGTGAAACCAGAGAAAACCGAGATCCCTTTGTAAACTGTTTCATCTTTCACATATCCACATGTTCTACCCACCCCACCCCACCCCACCCCATAGCTCTATGTATTTTAATGACAAGCCACCCTCAATAGCATTCATGTGGATTATATGTAAGAAGGAAAAGTGCAACTTTATTGCACCTTTTTCGCTTAATCAGGTTCCAGAGAAACAAATGACTATCAGAGATCGAATCTGATTCAGTGAGCAGATATAGATAGCATACTTCTCCTTCAGGAAGGGGGCGTGGTTGTCCCTGTGTCTCGGGTGTGGAAAATGGCTTTGCAGAGTTCTGTCCCTTAGCAGTGGAGGGTCAAATTATCATGGGTTTCATTCATAAATCCTATATTAGCCTTGATTACAATTCTTGTCTGTCAGCACCAAGTCTCTCTCTCTCTCTCTCTCTCTCTCACAAGTTTAGTTAAAGTGTCATCTTTTACCTGTCATCTTTCATTTTTCTCACACATAAACAGACACAGGCTTGAAATACAAGAGACAAAGAAGCATTAAACCAGGCTTCTTGAGACACTTTTAACAGACAGGAGACCCATGAATTTTTAAAATGATTTATCAAATGACCCTTTATATGGATCCAATTAAATTTACAAAGCATCTTACATCAAGATGTTCACTAATGTGGCTTATTGTTATCTACGTCCACAACTGTCTCCGTGTCTGTCAGTCATAGCAAGTTGGACCCGAGATAGGATTTATATTGGTGAGACAAAGTAACTATAGGATGTAGTATCTCTGTAGGATAGCAATATCTCCGGTTTCACTGCATCCTAATAAAGATAGAGAGCAATATCTGCGGTTTCACTGCATCCTAATAAAGATAGAGAGCAATATCTCCGGTTTCACTGCATCCCAGTCAAGATAGAGAGCAATATCTCAGGTTTCACTGCATCCTAATAAAGATAGATAGCAATATCTCCGGTTTCACTGCATCCCAGTCAAGATAGAGAGCAATATCTCAGGTTTCACTGCATCCTAATAAAGATAGATAGCAGTATCTTCAGTTTCACTGTGTCCTAATAAAGATAGATAGTAGTATCTCCGGTTTCACTGCATCCTAATAAAGATAGATAGCAATATCTCCGGTTTCACTGCATCCTAATAAAGATAGAGAGCAATATCTCGGGTTTCACTGCGTCCTAATAAAGATAGATAGTAGTATCTCCAGTTTCACTGCATCCTAATAAAGATAGATAGTAGTATCTCCGGTTTCACTGCGTCCCAGTAAGGATAGATAGCAGTATCTCCGGTTTCACTGTGTCCCAGTAAAGACAGATAGCAGTAACTCCGGTTTCACTGCATCCTAATAAAGATGGATAGCAGTTTCTCCGGTTTCACTGCGTCCTAATAAAGATAGATAGCAATATCTCCGGTTTCACTGCGTCTTAATAAGATAGATAGCAGTATCTCCGGTTTCACTGTGTCCTAATAAAGATAGATAGCAGTATCTCCGGTTTCACTGTGTCCTAATAAAGATAGATAGCAGTATCTCCGGTTTCACTGCATCCTAATAAAGATAGATAGCAGTATCTCCGGTTTCATTGTGTCCTAATAAAGATAGTTAGCAGTATCTCCGGTTTCACTGCGTCCTAATAAAGATAGATAGCAGTATCTCCGGTTTCACTGCGTCCTAATAAAGATAGATAGCAGTATCTCCGGTTTCACTGTGTCCTAATAAAGATAGATAGCAGTATCTCCGGTTTCACTGTGTCCTAATAAAGATAGATAGCAGTATCTCCGGTTTCACTGCGTCATGCACTGCAGTGTAAAACTACAAGGAAGGGAGGTGCACATGGAAGAGCAGGGGAGTTTCTGTTAAAATGTCTCCATAGAAAACTACCAAAATAGATATGGGAAGACCACTGTTGTGTAATCAAATACTACAACAGACAGATTATGTTTCATCTATACTTATAGGAAACAATACTGTATATTACTAACATCATATTTATACAAATTTACTCTTATTAGGTGGTTAATAGACATGCTACACAAAGAATACATGTTTAAAGAGCTTCTTTTCAAAGGCAAATTGTGACAAAGAATCTATACATAATATTGGCCAGGCCTGAATTTATGCAACATAAACAAAATAAGGCGAAACACATACCCTCAATAGTTGGTTCTCAGTCACATTGTTCTTGGTTCAAGTGCATATATATATATGTGTGCTTTGTAAGTGTCAGAATTTTGTATTTTTTTCTAGGCAGCTCATTGCCAGCTGAACAAGAGAACAAGATGATTGTTAGCCATAAGTGTGCACGGTATTACCGGTATATCGGTAAATTGAGGTTCATTCTTTCCACGAAACGTATCACAATATATTTTCTTCATGCTCAGTATGTCGAGTGATTTGAAATAGCAACTTTTACCATGTGTTTCATGTTATACACTTGCCAAATCCCTTCGCTGCCCCGGAGCGTGCATCCAGAGCCCCATGATGGCTGCATATTCATTGAATGGGTAAACATTTACTAGTTGTACCGGCATCCTTTTTTCTTCTATTTGTGAACTTCCATCCATACATTGATGGTTCAGATTTTTCTGAATTCAAAATTAGAATTATACAATATATCATGATACGTATCGCAATACTGCCTTGTGCATCGCAAAATATTGTGATACACTTTAAACCTGCAATACCCATCCCTAGTTATCCATATTGAACTGTATCATCAAATGTTAAATACGGAATGCTTCTCTGCAATCTTTAGCACAACTTTCTTGATGTGCTTCCAGATCAAAATCTTTTGTCCAAATTGTCATCTACAGGATATTCTTAAGGGAGATAACCAAACATTTCAAACATTTCTAATATCGCACACAAATATAGATACAATGTATACCAAATATAGATATACCAAATTCACTTTGATACATGTAGATTCTTTTCTTTTCTTTTCTCAAACTCATGTTACTGACTAAAGAGTCCAAACTCTTCATACATCTTAACACTGGGATGTTGTTATAAGTATCCAAAGCAGCAAGAAAATCTAAATATTTTTTCAATATTAATTTAAAACATTTGATTTTTTTTATAAATTAATATTTCAACTGGGAAACAATATATTACAAAGCATATATAATAGATAGAAGCTCCTTGCAGACTGTAATGTCTTTGTGCAAATATAAGGCTACGAGACAAGCAAGCATTGGTCATCTAAAGATGTGATTCTAACGATGTCGTCTACATTAGCAACACACTACACCATTGCATGTGTATGATATTAGAATCAACTGGTCATGTTTGGCACTATATCCACAACTGAATAACTATAGTAATAGTGTATAATATCCCTTTTCTATAGGGTATCAACATTACACAGCCACATAAGTGTCATGACTCAGAAACATGGACACCCACAGAAATAAGGAACCATGCCTGCTGTCTTCGAAAGTGCATGTGTGCTGTGCGATCCTTCCGCTTCCACACCATGCTGCAGCCTTCAAGACCCAAGTTCTCTCCCTTGGATCTGTGCTCGTGTGTGAAGGTCAAATTGTCCAGCCACAAGCGTGAGGAGATGGAACCCACTAAGACCACAGCGAGGGGTTAACTGGGATCGAGGCTTATGTTCTCCAGGTGGGACAATGGGTTGGGATCCGTCTGAAACATTTGCATTACACATTGATTATTATATACATGGCTAAAGGATGCATCAGAAAGTCAAGGAACACTTTAACCATATCAAGCAAGAGTTTAACACAATGTTGTAAATCCATAACGGGATTCACACCTGTGCTTTTGTTTTTTGTTTTGTTTGTTGTTTAACACCGCACTCAGCAATAGTCCAGCTAGATGACGCCAGTCTGTTAATAATCAAGTCTGGACCAGACAATCCAGTGATTGACATCATGAGCATCAATCCACTCAGTTTGGATACGATGACATGCATCAACCAAGTCAGACCACCTGTTCCCATAAGTCACCTCTTACGACAAGCATAGTCGCTTTTTACGGCAAGCATGGGTTGCTGAAGACCTATTCTACCCCGGATCTTCTCGGGTCTCCTGTGCTAAATTGATAGAAGAAGAATCTGCTCTGCAAAGACATTCTAATTAATACTTTCTTTACAGTCAACCAATCCAATCTGCTACCAGTCCAGTTTCTTCTCACTTATTGCCGCATTAGTAATTGGGCTACAGGGTCAAAGGGAAATAACTCCAAAAAAAAATTGTCTCCCTTTAACTAAGCACAAATATATACTTAGTTCACAACACACAACACTTCTCATTTACTTTACATGGCACAATGGTCAAGTTTTATCTGAGGTCACCGGTATATAAAGATGCATGAACTGTTCCTACTATATGGAACTGTACAAACATACATAAAGATGCATAACGTCGTGCAAGATGGTGTTATTGCAGATGCCAAGTTAGTCTTCACGGGTCTTGAATGACATTGTTATCCTTGTTACAACTGCTGCTCAGTAAACCTTGTTTTTGTTTATATTCAAGTTGGTATTTCTTGGATCCAAAGTATGTAGTGGGGCCGTCATATTGTTTTTACTCATTTTGGAGACATAAATGCGAAGTTAATTAATGCGAGCAAAGGCCACTCGCATTTTTCGCATTTAATTCATGCTCGCGTTCATTTCAAGATTTACAGTATTTGTGTGTGTTTCTCACGATCCATTAGTCTGAAAGTACTGTCTCAAGTCAAAAACTCTCGAGGATAAGAAAATAGTGAACCTATTTTCACATATCTGACAAAAAATGGGACGGTCAGGTAGCCTAGTGGTTCTGGGGCCAAAGACCCAGGTTCGATTCCAGACATGTGTGAAGCCTATTTCTGGTGTCCCCTGCTGTGATATTGCTGGAATTTTGCTAAAAGCGGCGTATAGCCATACTGACTCACTCACTCTGACAAAAAATACACAACTTCTCACTTGTTTCTGAACCAAACCAAAGGGGTTACTTTTGGACTTTTTATATTTTTCTCCTTCTGAAGTTGAGGATGGGGATGAGAAAGAGATGATAAGGGAATATATAATATGGATGGCCTCGAAAACTAAAACTAGTCCTATTGTCCCAGGCATAATGCATAATGGCCCAGGTACCCATTTGTCTCATTGAATTACTACTTTTGCACTGTTTTTTCTCTTTAAGTCATTATCAGCACTTATGCATAATTTAATAATAATCATCATCATCATCAGCAGCAGCAGGATCAGCATCAGCATCAGCATCAGCATCATAAGACACCAGTTCACCACTAGACTGATCCATTTCCAAGTTTCATGCAGTAATATTCAATGGTTTTGTAGTTCTGCTCCGGAAACGAGCACAACCCTCATTTTCAACAAAATCCAACTTGTCGTCATGAAAACATAATTGAATTTTTTTTTCAAAAATCCCAAATCATCAAAAGGCACCAGTTCCCCACTAAACTAATCTGTAAGGCAAGTTTCATCTCAAAATCTTCAATGATTTTGGAGTTCTGCTCTGGAAACGAGCACTACCCATATTTTCAGTATAAGTATAACTCATTGTCATGGAAAAAACTAATAAGAAATTAATAAATTCCAAATCATCAAAAAGCACCTGTTCCCCACTAGACTGACATATATAGAAAGTTTCAACAAGGAATATTTAATGGTTTTTAACTACTGCTCCAGAAACAGAAAACAGACAGCTGACAGACTTGGGGATCGCTATATCGCCCCGTTTTTCAAACTGGGGGAAGAAGAAAAGAGAAAAAGAACTACAATAAAATGAAACTGTTGATTGTTATGACTATCTTTTGTTTGTTTGTTTGTTGTTCAACACCGCACTCAGCAATATTCCAGCTATATGACGGCGTTCTATAAATAATCCAGTCTGGACCAGACAACACAGTGATTGACATCATGAGCATCGATCCATGCAATTGGGATACGATGACATGTATCAACCAAGTCAGTGAAGTGAGTCTGACCACCTGATCCCGTTAGTCGCCTCTTACGACAAGGATAGTCGCCTATAACTATCTACATAAATGAGCGACAGGAGCACATGCCATGACTTTGAGGCAGAGGCCCAATACATTCACGATGGCCAAAATAAAAGCTGAAATAATAAATGCAATCCAGTAGAAGATGAATGTGGACAATATATAGGAGTTGTAATCATCCCCACGCTCTGATGCCAAATCGTGTCAGATGAACCTTGTCCGAGTTCTACTAATTTTAGCATTTTGGTTACATAATTTTGCTCATTATCAGGTGCAAGATTTAGGTAATTTATATGCAAGTTGATGAAGACAAGAAACTACTTGTGATGTATTCATGGCAACTGGAAATGACAAACGGACAAGCTACACATCCTCATCCACCCACTACAAGGTCTTCTGGGTCACCAGCTACTGAGGTGGAACAATGCAGGGCTGATGAACCCGTTTCACCAAAGCAAAATGGACCAATAATTCATTTTTACTGATTGGACTACAGGAACTTCCCAAACCAAACGTTATTTCCTTGGACTGAGACTTCTTTTCACTTATTCCCATTTCGACTGTTTCACTTACAATTTCCTTGGCAGCTATGTCCATAACTTGATGAAAAAAAATTCTATGAGTGATTTCAGTGACACTATTGCCGTAATTATTATCTTAATAAACCAAGTGGTTTCATGTTGATCTATATCATGAGAAGGTGAAAGGCCAAAGGAGGCCAAAAAGCACTCCAAACAAGATATGTTATTTATATCATACAATGAAGGTGCATCAAATTCCATGTTGATACATGCAGAAATCCCAGAGTAATGGGCCTAAACAAAATGGCCACCATGGCAGCCATCTAAGAAAAATCATCAGAGAAACCACTGCTGGAATCCTACATGCAAAATTTTAGCATCATAGACTTAGTGGTTTCAGGCATATGACAAAAGGAAACAGACTGAGTAAGCTTGCTTGAACCACTACTTCAGGTCAGCTGACAAAAACATCAAAATTTATTCTTTTATTCCCCTCAACTTTTAGCAATATTGTTGGAGTACCCCAGATCCAAGCAATACAAGGAGGTTGTCCCAAGCTCCCCATGCAAGAGTCTACAGTACCTGCAGCCAGCAATACAGCACACAACAGTCAGGAGATGCAGATCTAGAACTACCATTACCTGTACCTCTGAGTACGCTGGTGGGGGGCGGTAGTCGTACACGTACGTGTACATGGGTGTGAACGTGAGGTCTCCCATGTTGGAGCCGGGTTCGTCGTCCTCGTCATCACAGAGGTTGACTGCACCACCAATACTTTCAGCATAGGTTGGTGGGTCTGCAATAGTGAAAAAAACATATTGACTTTACTGTCTGAGGAAAGATTTTATGCCTGCTTCAATTTAATGTTTCTACTTTTTCATACTTTTAATGACCTGATTTGTTTGTTTGTGTGTTTGTTTAACACTGTATTCACCAATATTCCAGTTATATGATTGCAAAATGTAAATAATAGAGTCAGGACCAGACAATCCAGTGATTGACATCATGAGCAACAATCCACTCAATTAGGATACGATGACATGCATCAACCAAGTCAGCGAGCCTGATCACCCAATCCTGTTAGTCACTTCTTACGACAAGTATAGTCCTCTATTGACTAGCCTGGATCTTTACCGGTTTCAATGACCTGAAGATGAAGTATGGTTTAATGTCGCTTTCAATATTATTGCACTTACATGGCATGTGTGTTAGTGTTAGTGTGTGTGCTTGCAGTAGTGTGTGTGCTTGAAGTAGTCTTGTAATAGTTTTATCATGTTTATATAGCCCTCTGAGATACCATTCTGCAGGTTAACATGGTTGGTTGGTTGTTGTTAAACGCAGCACTCAGCAATATTCCAGCTATATGACGGCGGTCTGTTAATAATCGTGTCTGGACCAGACAATCCAGTGATTATTATCATGAGCATCGATCCATCGAGCAATCCATTGAGCAATCGGGATCGATGACATGCATCAACCAAGTCAGCGAGCCTGACCACCCGATCCCGTTAGTTGCCTTTTACAACAAGCATAGTCACCTTTTACAGCAAGCATGGGTTGCTGAAGATCTATTCTCCCCGGATCTTCAAGGTTAATATGGATGCTTCCCTCAAACACATAGGATACCGACTTAATGCTCAGCATCAGGCAAGGTAACAACAAGTACCATCTTTTAACATCTTTTGGTATGACACAGGATGGGGATAAAACCACTAGACCACAGAGGTGGTCTCCATGACCAGAAAGATCTGTTTTTTGCAGCTATGCAACACAGGTAGCAGCACTAAACTGTCCTAATGAGCAGGTGAACAGAGATTATGATATAAGTAGATGTTAGTAGTGATTTTATGAAACAGGTATCAGAATTTGTGACAAATTTCATCAAATTCTATGGCTACACATCCCAGTGAAATGCTCCCTATATAACAAGAGTGTACAATCAGCTGGAGGAAGAGAAGCCTCTCACCTGGACAAGAAACGATGCTATGACATCATCAGTCTTGATGACTCAAACAGACATACCTGGCATTCCAAAGGATCCTCAATGTAACATCATTGTGTCCAATCTCAATTTGTTTTGTTTGTTTGTTTGTTGTTTAACGCCGCACACAGCAATATTGTATGCTTGTTGGATGAAACATCAGGGATAGTCTGTCTGAGACTCGTCAAACTCAAGAGGGAACTTTTCTCTTGTCCCGAAATCTAGTTATTTTACTTAATCCAGTCCAATATAAATTATGACTATATTGCATACAGTAGACTTTACATCAACAATGGTATATATGTCACCAATGTTGTACATTGTGTGAAATCTTCACTACATGTGTGCAATGAATGGATCGGATTAACTCTCATCATGAACTATGTGACCAATCAGTAGATACCTTCAAATGGAGGCGGCGGTGTGATTGTTTCTCTGTATGGCGGAGGGACAGGGAGGAAGTCCATGGCAAACTGGGCCTGGGTTTCTCGATAGAATCGGGACTCGGTGAAGCGGTAAGACTGTGCTCGGCGGTACGGAACTGTCCCGATGACGATAGGTAGATGCATTGTCAGGTTGTAGGCACCGGGAATATGCAGTGCAACCTGACAACATGGACGGAGAGAGATGGAGATACCCCACACAACGGACAACACAAGACTTGATAATCTACAACTCTACACATGGATGGGAAAGTAAACACATGCATACACGGTGACAGTGATTCAGCTAGACCCGCTCAGAGGTTCTACTACACCAAATCAGAACCAGTTTGGACAGTGCGGTTTTCGTACAGTGCCTTCAGTGCAGATCAAGATATCTGCAGGCTGTGATTGGAGGATATTCTGTAAGATTTTTTTGTCTTTCAAATATACATCCATCCAGTTATTAAAACTGACCATGTTTTTCTATATTTAGTACTGTCTTTTTCAACATGATGACTTATGCTGAATGTGACCACAGATATTTTCAAGTAGGTGACATTTGGTGCGAAACTGGGGGTGGTGTATTTAGCTTACTGTACTCGGAAAAGGAGCTGGCTAAGCTAGTCATTTTTTATTTTTTTATTGCTGCTCTCTGGCCAAACTGTGCACACACATACAGGTAATAGCTGTTGAATGCTTAGTTATTTTTAAAAAAAATATAACGTTACTATAGAAGTCTATTGGAAAACATTTGGTTGTGTGTAACCTCAGAGGCCAATATTTAGCCCCAAGTCTGCAGCAAATGACAGTAAAATTTCCCATTTTGAATTAAAAATTTCCCAATTCCTCCGAATTTAGGAAAATAGAACAGCAAAATATTCCAAGTTTGAACAATATCGCAGTTTCTTTTCCACATTTCCTGACAAGGACATTTAGGTTAAAATCTTTGATAAATCCCTGACTCTAGTCAAGCACTTCATTGGTCTTGACAGTGCTTAAAGTGTGTTTAGAAGCTTCACAAGTAAAAAGGGTCATCTCTAATTTGTCAGACAGCTTAAAACAACAACTTATATTGGTGAGGGAACATCAGGTGTGTGATAGGTTCCCTTAAATCCGAATAGACTAGTCCTGTCGTCAACAACTGTGAAACATTAAAATATGAATTACATACACTTCAAAGGGATTCCAGTTTACTTTTAATTGGCCTGCTCACTTGCGAATCAAACTGGTTATGTTAACGAAGCCTAATAAACTCACTTGTGAAAACAAGCAGTAAGCACCGTCTCACAAACTTCAGTGAAAACAAACATATTTACAGTTTAACCAGGCCGTTTAAAACTTCAAAGAGATTTCCAGTGTCTGGGTCATATCATTATGAGTAAAGGGGTGTGTGGCAGTTAAACTATTCCACTGTCTGACAAATGGGTGTCTGACAAGTTGGAGGACCCCATAACAAGTGGAGCTAGGGAGAAACACTACTACACGTAACAGTAGTAATTAAACATGACGGAATCAAGAGAACTGTTACCTTTACAAAGTAGTCTACTTTCATCACACAACAATTCATGATTGATGGCGAAACTGCTGGTATCTTCAACAACTGGCTATCCCAGCTCCCTCGGTTGCCAGGTGCAACAGGCAAACCAGTCAAAACGGTGAACTTAGTCCGCCTAACTCGAGACTTCCCGCTAGCAAAGAATGCTTGTGTTTGGTATAGGGTGGCATACGGAATAACAGTTCGTGAAGAATGGTTGTCAAACTCTGCCGATATTGCTATTGATTCCCCTGGTGAAAAACAAAACAGAGTGATGTTAATAATAATAATAATAATAATAATGCATGCACAGAGATATTTCCTATGCTGAAGTCAGAACTATTCCCGCCTTATCACTGCAGCAGGTAAAAGTCATTCTTGAGTCAGATAAACCAGTGGTTGATATCATGAGTCACATCCCACCCGAAAGGGGTACGATGACATGCTATCAACCAAGTCTTAGAGTATGACCACCAGATCAAATAAAGTCGCCACTCACGAGAGTGCAGGGGACCTATTCTACTCCGGACCATGAGTGTACTAGGGACCTATTTTACTCCGGACCACGAGAGTGCAGGGGACCTATTCTACTCCGGACCACAAGAGTGCAGGGAACCTATTCTACTCCGGACCACGAGAGTGCTGGGGACTTATTCTACTCCGGACCACGAGAGTGCTGGGGACCTATTCTACTCCGGACCACAAGAGTGCAGGGAACCTATTCTACTCCGGACCATGAGAGTGCAGGGAACCTATTCTACTCCAGACCACAAGAGTGCTGGGGGCCTATTCTACTCCGGACCACAAGAGTGCTGGGGACCTATTCTACTCCGGACCACGAGAGTGCTGGGGACCTATTTTACTCCGGACCACGAGAGTGCTGGGGACCTATTCTACTCTGGACCACGAGAGTGCTGGGGACCTATTCTACTCTGGACCACGAGAGTGCTGGGGACCTATTCTACTCTGGACCACGAGAGTGCTGGGGACCTATTCTACTCCGGACCACGAGAGTGCAGGGGACCTATTCTACTCCGGACCACGAGAGTTCTGGGGACCTATTCTACTCCGGACCACGAGAGTACTTGGGACCTATTCTACTGCGGACCACGAGAGTACTGGGGACCTACCCTGGATCCCAAGTGGGTGCTATCCCAGATCCTAAGAGAGCAATGGAGGAATCCCCAAATGATGGATGGACACTGGCAGATACAGAGGGGGCTCATCACCTTACATGTCAACCAGCCCTGGGTCATGCTTTTGTTCCAGTGCATAGAGAGTACCATGTCTTTTTCAAAGATCTCTGAATGGATACGGTGAGGGGAGATCAACGAAAGTTATGAAGGTGAATGATGGGTTCAATTACTGAAGAACTTGATCCTGGCCGTCGATAACTAGCACTGTACAGCAAATTGTCGTACCTTCAACCATTAGACTAAAAATCCCTCCCTGCTCCCATTTCTCATATTGTTTTTTGTGTGTTTTTGTTTAATGCTGCACTCACCAACATTCCAGCTATATGATGGCAGTCTGTAAATGTTCAAGTCTGGATTTGACAAACCAATGATAGATATTATGAGCAACAATCAACACCGTTCGGGTACAACGAACACAATCAACAAAGTCCAAAAGCCTGCTCACACGATTTATTAAGTCTCCTCTTTTGACAGGGTTTCCGGGGAGCTACTCTCACCAGGGCCCACTTGCACAAAGTGATCTTAGCGCTACGACTATCGTAAGCCTACGTTAAAGAATGGGAGCTACGATCATCTTTGCCCTAAGATCGCTTTGGGCAAGTGAACCCTGGAATCCCCATGGGCGTTGGTTTATCCTAAAATGAAATATAGTATGTAAATGAAAGCGATACACACCTGGGCAGTAACCTCGGCGATCGGTGCGGGCTGTGATGGAGATTGGCCCTGACATGCACAGCCAACAGCACAGAGTCTTCTCAACACTGCTCTCCACTTGGGTCTGACACACAGCAGTTAGACATGGTTTGTTTGTTTGTTTGTTTGTTTCTTAACATCACACTCAGCAATATTCAAGCTAAATAATCATGTCTGAACCAGACAATCCAGTGATTGACATCATGAGCATCGATCCACTCAATTGGGATATGATGACATGTATCAAACCAAGTCAGCAAGTCTGACCACCCGATCCCGTTAGTCGCCTCTTACGCCAAGTATAGTCACCATTTACGGCAGGCATGGGTTGCTGAAGACCTATTCTACTCCGGATCTTCACGGGTCCAGTTAGACTTGGTTTGACTCACTCTTCTGAAGTCCACATCACAACAGTCACACACACACATACAAAGTACCGAGGCTTCAAACAAGAAAAGAAGTTCTTAAAATGAAATTTTAGTATTACTTTTAAACTATACTCACCGACAAAAGAAACGTGAATACCATACATGTTGGTTAATAAATGAAGAATTACTCACATTCAAGAGATATTAGATCGGTTTGATTCAGAAACGAAGATACAAGTATGTTGTGTGAATCAGGCTCATGAATGCATCATTTGTAGCATCATAGACCCATGACCCGAGATTTATCCCACGCAGCATCACCATGTAAAGTTTGGAAATCATGTGCAGCATATTGTGATAAATACGCTGCGCTTACACTTGACTGATTGTCAGTTTTGTCATTAATTGGTTCTCATTCGAAACATCTCTTCTCAACATACATACTTCTCTATATGTTTCGGGGCGGTCGGGTAGCATAGTGGTTAAAGCGTTCGCTCGTCACGCCGAAAACCTGGGTTCAATTCCCGACATGGGTACAATGTGTGAAGCCCATTTCTGGTGTCCTACGCCGTGATTTTGCTGGAATATTGCTAAAAGAGACGTAAAATCAAACTCACTCACTCACTCACTACATATGTTTCTGTGGTGCATGTTTCTTTTGGTGGTGAGTATATAAAGGCCAAGAGGAGTTATACTTTATGTCTCAATATATTACTTGAATAGAAGACATTAATACATGATATCAGGGCCTGTTCTGAAAATGCAGGCAAGAAGTGTCCCACAAGGGTGACAGGGGTATGGTCAGGTGGCAAGAGTAGGTCTGTTATTTGTGCAGAAGGGTCATCATTAATTACATAAGTTATCTAGATCAATATACTTTGTTTAGAAGTGTTGTTTAAATATCCCGAGTCAAACTTGTGGAGAATGCAAATTGGTCCAAGCCTTGACAATCTCACACACAATCTCGATATGGCTACAGGACCGCCTCCGTGGTCTAATGGTAGAGCGTCCGCCCGGAGAGCGGAAGGTCCGGGGTTCGATCCCCGACCGTGTCATACCAAAAGATGTTAAAAGATGGTACTTGTTGTTAACCTGTCTGGCGCTCGGCATTAAGGGGCTAAAACAAGGACTGGTCGGCTCGGAGTCAGTATACTGTGTCTGAGTGGGGTATTCATGTTAAACTGCGGCATGGTATCTCAGTGAGCTAGCACTATAAATCGGCATCAGTCCGGACTAGTACAAGCAGCCACATACACACCCGTCGCTGTATAAGTGCAATAATCTTGGACGCGACATTAAACCCTATTTCACCTCACCACCACCATATGGCTACATGCCCCTCCCAACTTTCAACACAACACATGTTTTAAAATATGTATGTATGTTCTTGTCAAGCAACATCTGAACTGATACACATTAAAAGAAAACAAGCAAATATTCGCTCTGCATCTGCATCTAGGAACACACCTGGTACTCTGGTCTGTTTATATCGATGGGACTGATGACAGTGAAGGCTTTCTTCGTCTTGTGGTTGAAGGACCATGGCTTGTCCATCTCTGCTTTCAGCCAGTACCGCACACTTCCGTGCTTGCCTTCAAACGAGGTGGAAATACCACTGAAACAACAGCAGTAGATCAAACATATAGTTGAACATGGAGAAATTCAACTAATGCATTACTATTGAAAAGGGCATAATCTGTTGGTGTATTGCAATGGAACAGGGCATAATCCGTTGGTGCATTGCAATGGAACAGGGTATAATCTGTTGGTGAACAGGACATAATCCATTGGTGCATTGCAATGGAACAGGACATAATCCATTGGTGCATTGCAATGGCACAGGGCATAATCCATTGGTGCATTACAACGGAACAGGGCATAATCCATTGGTGAATTGCAACCGAACAGAACATAATCTGTTGGTGCATTGCAACGGAACAGGGTATAATCTGTTGGTGAATTGCAACCAAACAGGACATAATCCATTGGTGCATTGCATTGGAACGGGGCATAAAATCCGTTGGTGTATTGCAATGGCACAGGTTATGGAATTATTTCAAAACTGCCGCCAACTTACCCCATTGGAAGCTCAAAAGCAAAGTTAAATTCATGGCGGCCCTCTGTCAGTGTGTCTCGTCCATCAGAAACTTCTGCAAAATGATAAAAAGCCATAGAAACATCAGCACAATGACATAAATCATAATGTTAGTTAATTACACCACAGTCAGCAATATTCCAGTCACATCACAGCAGCCTGTTAATAATTAAGTCAAGGTCTGGCAAACCGCTGACTGAAGGCATCAAAAATTACCCATACCATCGTCCCACAGCTTTCCGTGAAGTCAAAGAGTCTGGCCACCGGATACAGTTTCGTTGACTCTTACAACAAGCTCTGGTTTCTAGAGACTAATTCTACCATATAATCCCCATGGAATACATAAATTATTACATACATCATTACAGGAGGCAGTGTTAGAACAGAGTTGAGAAATGTGTGACACTGTGTGCTGACCCCTGCATTGTGATATGAATTGTATCACATATCAACCATACTGTTATACCTTGCAACAGAAGCAAACACTGGACAAAACAACATTGTCTAACATTGCCTAACATTGTGTGACATTGTAAAATAGTTCAAACGGCATATACAATACCTCATCAAAAGATGAAGGCCACACAATTAATCATCACATCTTAATAAGATTTTTGTTAAAAGGGACTGAGAAGGGCTTTCATGTATTTGTTTTTCAAGCATTTTAAAAAGCTTAACATTATATAATTATTTGTCTTCCCCATTTTCCGTTTTAATTTTCATTCTTTTCAACTTTTTTACCTTTTTCATTATTTCCCCCCACTGACAATACCATAAAAGAAATACCTTAACCCCTAAAACATGTTTAATTTTCATTTCGAATGCTAAACCCAATGTTTTTTAAAGAAATTCTGTAAACCATACAATACAAATGAAGAAACCTAACATACTCAAAGCAATCAAAAGATTATTGATAATATCAAATAGCTGGTAAATATTTTCTGATATGAATTGACAATTACAATAGAGTTCTGAATCCTTATTACATAGGAAAACGCACAACTTTCTGGCTAACAACTTCTGGTACAATGCATTTAGCGATGTTCATAATCAGCAGATTAACAATCAGCCCAGCTTTAGAATGGTGTAAGAATTTACATTGAAACATTGCTAAATGCAATAAACTAGACGTTGTTATGCATAAATTTATATGTTTTCTTATTTACTCCCCAACTTCTAGAATGCCAATCAAAACAGTTACCTTATCATGTCATCAGCGGTTACTCCAATTAACTCAACATAGGCAAGATGGTGCTCTTTACCATGTTTACTGAGAGGTTAAAATCTAATGACAAAAGGATGTCTGCACGCCTTGTAGGGTATGTAACGTTTTGTGAGAAAGGTATTTTCCCTATTTCATACACATCCAAATGAGATAGAAGGGGTTAACAACAGTGCCAAATTTATATGGTTAGTGTTCTCTAGTAAACACTGGTAAAAGCATTTGGAAAAGTGTTTAATTTTCGTACTGTAGGTAAGTTCATCTGTAAGATGTGCTTAACAAAAAATTGGCATCTACTTGCTTCCCTCAATTTCTAACACCCATTGCTTACGGGATGCAAGTCTGCAGGATTACGTAGGCCTTAAACCTACATTTTTAACTAAGGTAAGGGAACAGTGTTTGAAATAACTTAAATACCCCAAAAGACAGTCGGGCAGGTGACCCATATGTGATGCCTGCCTATCTTCAAGGTTACCTGCCTGCATTCAGACATTCTAAATATTTAAAAAATGCTAAAAGCATAAAAGACAAATCGGGTCTTGATTCAGCTGAAATACATTAAACTACAGTTAGAACAAACTCACAGGGACCACTAATTTTAGTTCATAATAACCGTAGTTCATTCTATCCGTCAGTTCTTCATAAGCGTGTTGGTTATAAACAAAGTTTACTGTAATGCAAACAATTACTTGAGAATCCTCAAGGAGTTATAATAAAACTGAATCCTTAAGTAGTCTCAAAATTATCTGACAGTCAGGGAGCTGGAGGAAAATTTCATGCAGCCCGAGAGAAAAGTTTCCAGCCACAGACAGGCAGGCAGGTAGTTATTTTTGACACTGTAAGGGAATACTGGCTGTCCAGTTAAGCTAAGGCAGTTCACTGTCCTCAGTTGGGTCTTTTTACCATGGCAGAGGCCAATGATCATGGGTTTAAATCCCAGATGTCCTTGAACGTGATGGTTGGTTTGTAAGGATAATATCAATCCTCATGGATGTCATGAAAGTAGAATAGGTCTTCAGCAACCCATGCTTGCCGTAAAAGGCGACTAACAGGATCAGATTGTCAGGCGCGCTGACTTAGTTGATGCATGTCATCGTATCCCAATTGCTCAGATCGAGGGTCAAGATATCAATCACTGGATTGTCCGGACCAGACTCAATTATTTACAGACCGCCGTCATATAGCGGGAATATTGCTGAGTGTGGCAATAAACAACAAACCAACTAAAACCAATCATGAAAGTAGTCAACATCCTAAACCTGCATCTGTTAGTCTTTCTGCAGACATCAAGCTGACATGCTGTTATATAACTGTAATACTGTTCAAAGTAGCATAAACTGCACTCACTCTCTCATGTTGTGTGACTACAGAAGGATCACCTCATGTTGACTGTTGAGTGTCAGCAGTATACTAAGTTTGTATGTATTTATGTCATGCTGATTGAGACCTTGTAGATTAATACATTTCTTATATAAGGCCACACCTTTTTGAATTTTATGTTTCACGGATTTATTCCAGCTTTTCCATACAAGGTTGTTTGAAATATATAGCTATGGCTTTAAAAAATAAAAGAACTGGTTCTCAGGCAATGGCTTTTGACCATGGAATAATTCATAAAGTAACAAGATAATGGCTGTAGTGAACAGACTTTTCACCCCAAACAGACCTAAGCATCAATATGATTGGGAGTGACTGTCCGTGTGAACAATCAATATCAGCAGGAACCTACATGTACAACCTACAAGTTATTATCAAATTATCACAACAGTACACTTTCACGAACTTCTATATGTTTCATTACATTCAGCAGTGAATCAGCTTTGTCACAGCTTATTGTTGCAGTTTTCCCATTTCCATGGTATAAAGTATATTTTTCAAAAGTAATCACTGGTTCAGTCCTTATCTCTAATGTGTTTCCACAATTATCAACAGTCATTTCACCAGCAGATGTTTTTCACAAGCACTATCTTATGATTTCATTAGTGAGTGAGTGAGTGAGTGAGTGAGTATGGTTTTACGCAATATTCCAGCAATATCACGGCGGGGGACACCAGAAATGGGCTTCACACATTGTACCCATGTCAGGAATTGAACCCGGGTCTTCGGCGTGACGAGCGAACGCTTTAACCACTAGGCTACCCGACCGCCCCTATGATTTCATAATGTTCTTGACGTAACCAAGAGGGACGGAAAGTGACATCATATATTTCCATGGCAATGGTATATGTCATAAGACTCCTTGAGCTGTGTCTGTGGAAATGTAGAGCTGCAAATAGTTTCAGCCAAAGTAATTCTGTAGCTAAATACAAAAATATGATATGATTTTGAGTCCCAAACACATATATATTATTCAGTTTTGCATATGCAGTTCAGCCATAAATCTAACATGGACAAAGAATACTAAACATACATGATATATACACTTTATGATTTAAGTCTACAGTACAGTAACTAGTTTATGGTAATGGTATTCATACATAGATCATCATTCCCGGTTGATTTCCATGTGACTTTTTTTATGTTAGTAACAGCTGTTTTCAGTAAAACAGAATCTAGATTGGGAATCGGAATGTGCAAACATTAAGCTCACAATTCATACCTAAAATGGCAGATTCTTATGACATTTGATTACCATGTTTACCACTGCAGGCTACAGGGTCTGTGCCCAAGACTTATCTGTTGATTTTGTAGACTTCTTAAGCAGGCAAGCAGACATTTTACAAAACCTGGGTACTTGAAATTGTGCTGTGGCCAGGTGGGGAGTCCAGGTGGTACTGTTGCCAGGTGGGGAAAACAGGAGGTGCTGTGGCCAGGTGGGGAAAAGAGGAGGTACTGTGGCCAGGTGGGGAATACAGGAGGTGCTGTGGCCAGGTGGGGAATACAGGAGGTGTTGTGACCAGGTGGGGAGTCCAGGTGGTGCTGTGGCCAGGTGGGGAGTCCAGGTGGTACTGTGGCCAGGTGGGGAAAACAGGAGGTGCTGTGGCCAAGTAGGGAAAACAGGAGGTGCTGTGGCCAAGGTGGGGAGTCCGGGTGGTACTGTGGCCAGGTGGGGAAAACAGGAGGTGCTGTGGCCAGTTGGGGAGTCCAGGTGGTACTGTGGCCAGGTGGGGAATACAGGAGGTGCTGTGGCCAGGTGGGGAATACAGGTGGTACTGTGGCCAGTTGGGGAGTCCAGGTGGTACTGTGGCCAGGTGGGGAAAACAGGAGGTGCTGTGGCCAGTTGGGGAGTCCAGGTGGTACTGTGGCCAGGTGGGGAATACAGGAGGTGCTGTGGCCAGGTGGGGAATACAGGAGGTGCTGTGGCCAGGTGGGGAATACAGGAGGTGCTGTGGCCAGGTGGTGAGTCCAGGTGGTACTGTGGCAAGGTGGGGAATACAGGAGGTGCTGTGGCCAGGTGGGGAGTCCAGGTGGTACTGTGGCAAGGTGGGGAATACAGGAGGTGCTGTGGCCAGGTGGGGAAAACAGGAGGTGCTGTGGCCAGGTGGGGAGTCCGGGTGGTACTGTGGCAAGGTGGGGAATGCACCAAACTTCAAGGACCCAGGACTCCCTGTTATTTCAAATACAGAATGGTGGCCACAACATGATCAAACTGGTCCTTACAAAATATCTGCTTGAGACAGTTTACTGATCTTAGTAGTGACAAGAGCTCACTTATCATGCTTATTACATTGTGTAATAAATCTTAAATAACTCTGTAGAATAACTAAATGAATTCAAGAAATCTGTGGACCATGGTCATGTAGATGCAACATACAGTTTATTTCTTGAGTCTCATGTTTTGCCCACTCCTATAATTGATTTAATTTGTACCACTGTTAAGTGAGTGATTGAGTTTAAGCAATATTCCAGCAATATCACAGCGGGGGACACCAGAAATGGGCTTCACACATTGTACCCATGTCGGGAATTGAACCCGGGTCTTTGGCATGACGAGCGAATGCTTTAACCACTAGGCTACCCGACCGCCCCACCACTGTTAAGAAAAAAAGTTTTCAAGTCAAATTTCATTATTGCACCAAATTCCAACTTCCTGCACAAGCCATGCCATTCCTAGTTTGTCAGTTTCATGGCCTCAGGCCTGTCTCATTATTCTTGGAGTCACATGCAGGAAGTGTGGCCTAAACATTAGAATTTACTTTACCTTTAGAGATTTGTCCCCTACTAAAAGTGTAAAAAAATAAAAATCCTCTTCAATTGCTTTTGTTATTGTTATTTCTGATATATTCCGTGTATAAAGCTGACTGTACCATTTGCTTTGATGTTTGTGAATCTATGAGCAAATATGCTTATTTCTGTCCTTGGAAAAAGCTTAAGTAGATTTCTGTCATAACATGAGGGGGAATAAAAAGAAGCAATAGTTAAATGAGATGCGATCCCGTTCACGCAATAACGGGAAGTTGGCGATAATTAGTCCTCGCTGACAACTAGTCGCAAGCCAGTACACAGCTTCGAAAAAGGTCATGATAAACAAAAATACCTTTTTTGCTGGAAAACTATTTTTCTGTGAGACTCAACTAGCCATCAGAGCCACTGACACTAACTTACACTTTGGAAACTTAACTAGCCACAGGCTAGTAGACATGTGTTGGTTTGTGGAACAGGGTATTCAAGGTAACAACTGAATATGTTCAAGTAACATACCTTCTATACCAGATCAAGGCAATAACAACGATACAACATTTGATTGTCTTGTATCTACGGGTCTTCAATCATATTTATATAGAACAACAACTGGTGTAAGAAGAAATAGATACTGGATATCGGCAAAACAGAATTAAAGGGAAACCTATCGCAGAGCTAAAAATTTCAGACGTTCATATCACGCCTTTTTAACACAACGAGCAGACAACATCGACTATGAACAAGCTGACGCGCTCACCTCCACCAAAAAGAACTTGTCGTTTGAAGAAATACTCCACCTCAGCATTGTAATGTTCCGTATACGACCCCAATCTGCTTCCCGTACTTCGCGATTCCGTCCAGTGAACTTTAGCAACCCCTCGCATGAACACTCGCAATGACCTCATTTTCATATCGCCTTTCAGTTCCACTACAACCTGCCCGTTAACGCACTCGCCTGGGTGAAACACGGATCGCTGGTCCGGGAATACAATCTCGAAGCATTTAAGTTTCCCCATTTTCACCGATAAGACTTCAGTGGTCAAGGAGTGTCAGAAAATCACTAAAGTAAAGGTCATTCCATCCCTTCCTGGAGAAACCTCCATTTTGTTTTGGTTCCACAGACCGGAAGTGACCTTTGACGTGAAGTTAAAAGTAGGACACGGCTGTAAGTCTTAGTACCGATTCTTGGAATTTTGGTTACAGTCGATTGTTTGTCTCGTGACGTGATAGTGTTAAAAGTTAATAACTCATTCAGCAAAGGACAGGGCACATACATATATTCCTAAACTCTACCAGGCTCATTACGATGTAATTTATGAATGAAATAGAATCAGTAAAGCTAGACCTACAATACGACATCTTTTCAGATTGCCCTACATTACAACCAAGGTGATAAATTAGGTCTTTAATAAGAGAAAAAAACATGCAAGTTAACATTAGAGGAAAATGTGGATGGACAATGCAGTTGAATCAATATATAATTAGGTCGCCGCTCTTTGTCACGCTGTGAAAGAATCAACAGTATTGAGTGAAGCTGCTGATAAATCTACTGAAATTCTTGATTTTGATGGCTGCATGCAGGCGAGCGACAACTCTGCTGTTGTAAAACTGTGTTTGGTTTTGAAATATCAACATGTAACGTATTTCTAAAGAGGAGAATAAATACTATTATTCTCTTCTATCGTATTTGAAGGTTATCCGGATCAGCTACATCTTGACGCTCCATGCACGTGTTGTGATTCTTACATAGACTCCATATACGTACACAGTTACGTTTAGTGGATTAGTAGGCCATGCGATATTTAGTCTTTTCTTTTTCGTTTGTTTGCTGTTTAACGCCGCACTCAGAATAATCTAGCTTTATGATTGATGTCATGGGCATCGATCCACGCAATTGGGATACGATGACATGCATCAACTAAGTCAGCGAGCCTGACCACCCGATCCCCTTATTCGCCTCTTACGACAAGCATAGTCGCCTCTTACGGCAAGCATGGGTTGCTGAAGACCTATTCTAACCCAGATATTCACGGGTATTGTCTTTTCTATTTGTATACATTCTTAAATAACGACACTGAAAACTTTTCTGTTGATCAAACGGATATAGTACAAGTAACAGACACAAACAGTTATACTCGCAGAAAATATTAACTTGGGTATTCTTACAATATATTATCCATAGACATGCATGTTTACTAAACAATGAGTATATTCATTCTCTAACATTCATGGGGATATTATTTTGATTCTAAATTACTATCAGGACATACATTCCCCTAATAATTATTGTATTTTGGTCAATCGGTTTAATGAACCATTTAACGCACGGTGTAAAAGTAATGATTATTTAGGTTAAGTAGAACAAATTTTATATATAGTTGTCTGTACGTGCCTTTCTGTACTCTCGGCAGAACACAAACAGAGTATAGTATGGTAGCCTTAATGCTGTATTGGATGAAAGTTGACAGTGTTCGTATATTTGCTTTGAATGAGATTTAATGACACGCATAGATGCACATAATATTTATTTGTCTCACATGTTCATCTTTTCCCTTGTATACTAGAGTGTTATAATCATAGTCTAATGTATCACTATAGAAATGCCTGGTCAGCGGAACATCATGTGTGTGGTGCATGATGTTTAGTGCTGTTAAATATCATGTAAAGCCCTTATGTTGCGGATAGCGACTACGAGCGAATAATTTTGTTTGTTTGTTGTTTAACGCCGCACTCGGCAATATTCTAGCGATAATGACGGCGGTCTGTAAATCATCGAGTCTGGACCTGACAATCCAGTGATTGACATCATGAGCATCGATCCACGCAATTGGGATACAATGACATGCATCAACAAAGTCAGCGAGCCTGATCACCCAACCCCGTTAGTCGCCTCTTACGACAAGAATAGTGACATTTTACGGCAGGCATGGGTTGCTGGAGACCTATTCTACCCCGGATCTTACGAGCGAATAAGGTTCAGTTCAGTTAGGAAACGTAATACAAACGTGGCGGTTTTATTTCGTATTTCGGTTGGCCCAGTCGTCAAAGGCATTATATTTCTAGGTTTGTCAGCACCATACCCGTGCACGTGGGTTTCACCGAAGTGGTAAACGTCTGAGACCTGCATCACTTCGGGCTTTCCTCCCACATTAAGCTGACACGCCGTGATATAACTGTTATACTGTTAAAAGCGGCGTTAAACCCAACTCAGTCACTCTTGAAGATAAGTGGAATATGTATTAAAATATATCGAAATCTGAGGTTCAAAGGGTATTTGAACTTCAGAGTAACCCGATCCATATCAAGTGTTAGAATACAACAGATCAAGCTAATTTAGGCGACACTATATTACATTTGTACTAACAAAGCAGAAAATGAAATAAAAACACTCAAAATTGTATTTATATTTGTCCGTTGGTTAAATATTGTACAGAAATAAAAAAAAATATAAAGCACAACATTTAAGTACATGTTAACTCGATAACTCTATGTAGTTAATTTGTCAAATGATCAATGCTAACACCTTGTAGAGAGAACAAACCCGTCTCCAAAGGAAGAAAATACATACCGTTTGCATCAGCACCAAGCAATTCAAGCAGCATAAGCTTCTATTTCGTTCCCAAGATCATTTCTCCAAATATAAAAAATACAAAACAAAAAAGCTCAGCCACACGACTTTAGTTTTATGTTTCTTTCGCAATGGTTAACATATACAAAGTTTTTCTTCCGCAATGTTTTCATCATTTAGAGAGACAATCGACGAAGGGACGTAACTCCTCCGTGCCTAAGGGGTATCGTGCGTAGATTTTGTACCAGTGTTCTGTGCATGATCTGAGTTACTATATTATTTTGAAATATGATAGTGACGTTTGACATCCAATGGTAAAGCGATGTATAGAGGAACAAAGAACCCAGGATAGTATAAAGATCGTTAACATGAACATAGCTTTCATGTTTGTTTGTTTTTTCGCTTCGAAATAATAAAAAAAGAATGGCATCAACACTATATATTAAAGAGTCTCTATATGTCGTATATCTCTATGCATTGACTAATTTGTAACGGAAGATTACAAATATGAATAAATAGTACAATCAATGGAATTGTCAATCGGAAACCGAAGTGGGTTATCTCCCTTGATATTAGTGACACTGTGTATACAGAAGTGATATAATTAAAATATAGAAATTAATGAAAATGTTTGAATGGATGTGACTTATGAAAGTAAAAGGGACATTTGCCGTGTGTACATCAGGCTACTTTAAATGGTCCAGTTACATAATATGAGACTCAGTCGGAGGCGGTTGCTGGCTTATTGTAAAAACTTCCTGTCTTTAAGCCGAATGTCGGTTTCAGTACCCACGTGGCTACAATATGTGAAAATACATTATCAATGCAGACGCAATATTACTATAAGCAGTTTAAAGGGATGGTGGGGTGGGGTCTCGATGAATTAACGGTATTTATATTTAGTAACGGCTCGTTTGATAAACATCCTCAAATCTTACCAAGCAGAGGATGAAATAAATATGTTCACTTAAAAATTAATGTAAACATTACGTGCAGGTCCGGGGTGGGGGTGGGTCTGGGGGTGGGGCATTTAAGGGCCACTTAGGACCCGTATTTTGGGGGGTTAGTATTCCATGAGCAATAATGCCACCAGATCACTGTGTAAAATAAATATTACACTGCACTAAAACAGAAATTAAACATTTCAATTATCGTGAGTGAGTGTGTAAGTACGTCGCTTTTAGCAGTATTTCAGCAAAATCGCGGCTGGGGACACCAGAAATGAGCTTCACACATTGTGCCCCTGGGGAATCGAACCCGGGTCTAGGCTACTAGGTTAACCCACCGCCCCTTTGCATTATCGACTATAATAAGGAAAAAGAGGGCTCTAATGTATGTTTACTAACTGATCATGGATTTTAATTTCAATGTACAAAAATATAAATCTTTATGACGGTATGATCTTCTCCCCCACCCCCCACCCCCGATCCCCGATCGACAACCCACCCCCGATCCCCGATAGATATATTGGCCCAGGCTAAGCCCCCACGTTTTCAAATTCCTTTCCACGGGCCTGTTCGCTGTATTATTACAAATGCCATGCAGTTTCATAATATATAATAACATACATGTATATGAATAGGAAATAACAATAAGCTAAAGGTCAGTTGTTACCATCCGTAAGTACTCTTTAAGTCGCTCCACGTATGTCATTTACAATCGCCCATAAACGCTATATACACGAACTCACGGTTCGCTGAATGAGTCATACATGCATCGCGGTCGTTCATTTATTATCTAGTGAAATGATCGCCTAATTGCATTTGTTCTCTCAAACTGAGTCATCGAGTACATACCCCAAGTGTTTATAAGTATACACGTGACATAAAGGTAAATAGTCTATTTTTAGAACGACATATTAAAAGGCATGATTACAATATTGAAATCTGCTATTTAAATAGTTATTTAATTCAAATATTTGTGCTGAAATTTAAGTTCAGTTGAATGGCCAATATTGAAAGTATCAAAAGCGTTTTGAATTTTCTGTCAGAAAAGTTGACATTAGGACAGACTCGGTCGATAACGAAGGTAGGCGGTCATGTGACCGGGCACCTGACGTCATGAAATCGACTAGCATGGCGGAGTACAGAAATCGTGTCACTGGCGGTGGATTTGTTTACTATCGACTGTAGTAGTCCCACGGGAGTGTACACAGTAAGTAATGTGTGTATGTAAGCGCATTATGATATGATAGGGAAATGATAACCGCAATGGTTTGATTTCAGTTCATAATGAAATGTGCGACTGTCTGGGACGGAACCGGTGGGAAAGCTATAAAACTTCCTCCGAGTCGGTGACTGAGTCACACCCCAACGACTCCGGTTCACAAGGCGTTATAGTCTTGACTTGATACACACTCTTGGACCTGTTTGACTTTGCGGATATTACACATCCTAATCCTCTACCTAGTGTCAGCTGGCGGATTATGCCGTCTTTTGTTCGAATAGCTGCATCACCTGTGGAACAGGCCTCTGTTGGTATACGGGTCAGTGAACTACAACTGGCTTGTCTGCAGAACCACATTAACCCAACACCCAAGGTGGCTTTTCCGAGGTGTCCCACAAAGGATGACTTGACATAATAGATCAAGTTTTGTGGTGTTACTGTCGTAAAGTTTGTTAACACTTTTTTTATGTGTGTAAATCGTAAATGTAGAAAAGCTGATGTTTAGAGAGTGACCCTCGCCCAAAAGTCGCCTCCAAACACTCCATATGTGAGGGGACGTTGAGGTCATGGCTGCTGATGAGACAAGTTGTTGATGGGTAGGGAGCATGGCACATAACATCTAGTAGGAAGTGAGTGACAGAGGAAGCTATATTTAAACCTCATATCCCACATCTTGCCGGATATATTTAATTTACAACTGATTATTATCAAACAGATCAAAACAATGTTGCAATATGAATGCAATATGGGTCTATATTCCCTGCAAGGAAATGAAAGAAGTCTCTACCAGAACAAAATAACCAATGCACAATGTTTATATTTGAAACAATGGTGTTGAACATGGCAATATGTTCACATGTGTGACTAATTGTGACATGTTATTCTGGACTTGGTCTGATTATTTTTATGATTGTATTTAATATAAATTGTCCTTGCCTGATAATATTCATGCATACCATTTTAAAATGCACTATGAATGAATCGTTTACTGTTTATTATATCTAAATAAGGCTCTGCGGTAACCCAGTGGTTAAAGCATTCACTCATCACATAGAGGCCCGGGTTCGATTCCTCACGTGGGTACAATGTGCCCCCTGCCGTAATATTGCTTCATTATTGCTAAAAGCAGCGTAAAATGATAAGAAGAAGCTTGTAAAATTTACATTAACTTACTTCAAAATTTAATATGACTTTTTTTGTGGATGTCATCGATCAGTAGAAAACAAGGGTATTCATATAACTTTAAGAGAGAATGGGACAGTTCCTTGTCTGTTGTTATCATGAGAAGGATTTGTAGTTTTGGTTAGCAGCATATGAACATTTATGATTCATATTAACTGTGACTTCACTGTGCTAAGAAAATGTAACCTTTGCTGATATTTAAGGAACAAGAGGCATTCATTCAGCCTTCAAAATTCATGCTGGTCCACCAGCCTCAGACAACTAATTTGTGCTGAGGACAAGTGAAAATACAATGATGGCAGTCCTCACAGACTAGTAGCATTTGAGGGCTATAATTCTGAACCAGTTCTCAATGCTTCAAGTTTTGCAGCAAATTAAAACTGAATAAAACTGACAGAAAATGTAAACATTGTAAAAGAACATTTCTGCTTCAAGTAGAATCAGTACAAATTAACCCTGAGGACTAAGCATAAGTGATTTTTTTTTTTTCGAAGGCTGTCATTGTGGTATCTATTGGTATGTCAAATTATGTATGCTCAGTCATTTCCCATCTGGCCTTAGAGAGTGTGCTACATTGCCACTACCCCGAGTGTTCTATTCTCTGGATCAATTTCTAATTTGTATATTGACAAGATATCCAATTTGCTAACAATACCCGCTGTGGTGTACCTGTGTATTCGCACCTTTGTCTGCCTGACCTGACTACCTTCCTTGATGAAAGCAATATGGCTGTGCGGTACACTCTATCTGTCCTGATTAATCACTGTTAGCTAGGTGGATTTGTTAGGCATTTGGGTGATTTATGAGACGGCTCATACTATCAGACAGGTGGACCAATTGCCTTCTCCCAAAACAATTGATTTATTTCACTTATGTTGCTACTAATGCGGAGTGAGCTGGGGTGGACACCACTAAAACAGTTACTACTGATCTGTTATTTGACAAGTGCATGGTGTTTAAATCGGGGTGTGCTGACCAATGTGCAAAGCAAGTGGACAAGTTCCGGTTCTAGATTTAGGCATGCGTTATCTGTAAAACGGGCGCACTAAAACAGACTTGATAATCTTTTATGGGCGGAAAACACTTTGGAGATTGGGGTATTCATATAACTTTAAGAGAGAATGGGACATTTCCTGTTTTGTTGTTGACATAGGAAGGATTTGTAGTTATGGTTACACGTGATTATAAACGTTAATGATTCATATTAACTGTGACTTCACTTTCCAAAGAAAATGTAATCTATTATGATATTTAAGGAACAAGAGGTATTCCTTCATCCTTTGAAATCTCTGCTAGTCCGCTAGCCCGAGACTACTAAATTGTGCTGAGGACAAGTAAGAATTCAATGATGTTTATCTTCATGATCAAGTAGCATTTGAATCAGTTCTCAATGCTTCAATTATATGCTGCAAATTGGAACTGAATAAAACTGACAGAAAATGTAAACATTTTTGTCTGGTTCAAGCAGTACTAGCTACAAAGTCTGACTACTCTCGACTAGACTCTGGATTGGATTTAAAAAAAACAGAATTTCTTAGGCTTCAGCGATGACCATGATTTTTGCAATGATTGACAGTCAGACAGTCAGTTTGTGCATTTGGTAGCCTTGTGGTTGAAGTGTTCGCTCATCATGCAAAAGGCATGGGTTCGATTCCCCACATTTATATAATGTGTGAAAGACATTTCTGGTGTCCCCAGCCAGTAATATTGCAAGCACTATTGTTCCCCACAAATTGTATTGCACCCATATCGGGATTTGTATCACATCGCACCCATGGTATCGGGATATGTATCACACCCATAGTATCGGGATACAAGCTAATGGCACCCATAGTATTGGGATACATATCTTATTGCACCCATAGTATCGGGATATGAATCGTATCGCACCCATAGTATCAGGATATATATCGTATCACAACCCCACTGTATTGTTACACCTCAGGTATTTGTTAAGCATTGGTCGAAACATGGACAGATAAGATAACACTAATCAACACTATGATAACATGTCATGTAAAGTGTTGTGTGGAACAAGATGAAAAATAAGAATTTGCAAATTGTAACTGTATTAAAGAGACACCATTGAGGATGTGGCTGAGGCTTGTGGTTAAAGACTTAGCTTGCCATGCCCTACATTGGGTTTGAATACATCATAAGTACATGTGTGAAGCCAGTTGTAAGTGTCCCCAGCATTGATCTGTCTGGAACACAAATTAAGTGGATTAATGCAAATACCATACTCATACATTCTATTGTTATTCACATACATGGGATAAAAAAGGGTGAAAATGATTTTCTATGAATCAAAAATAGTATATATATGTTAAAAGTTAATAATGTCCTACTGGTGTGAAAAACATGTTTGATACTGCTGCTGTTTGTTCTGGATTTTGAACACAGCGTTGAATTGATGGACTTGCACAAAGCGATCTTAGGGCTAAGATGATGGTAACTCCCATACTTCGATAGTCATAGCGCTAAGATCGCTTTGTGCAAGTGGGCCCTGAGAACTGCTTCAACAGCCTGGCAACCTGTATGTCAGTGACTAGTACTGGGGACTAGACTATGGGAACTAGGCCATGGGGACTAGACCATGGGGACTACATTATGGGGACTTCACTAATGGGACTACACTATGGGGACTACACTATGGGGACTAGACTATGGGGACTACATTATGGGGACTACACTATGGGGACTACATTATGGGGACTACATTATGGGGACTACACTAATGGGACTAGACTATGGGGACTAGACCGTGGGGACTAGACCGTGGGGACTAGACTATGGGGACTAGACCATGGGACTACACTATGGGGACTACACTATGGGGACTACACTAATGGGACTACACTATGGGGACTAGACTATGGGGACTAGACCATGGGACTACACTATGGGGACTAAGCCATGGGGACTACACTATTTGGACTAGACCATGGGGACTACACTATGGGGACTAGACCATGGGGACTACACTATTTGGACTAGACCATGGGGACTACACTATGGGGACTAGACCATGGGGACTACACTATAGGGACTAGACTATGGGGACTAGGCCATGGGGACTACACTATGGAGACTAGACTATGGGGACTAGACTGTGGGGACTAGACCGTGGGGACTAGACTGTGGGGACTAGACCGTGGGGACTACACTATGGGAAATAGACCGTGGGAACTACACTATGAGGACCAGACCGTGGGGACTAGACCGTGGGGACTTCACTATGGGGACTAGACCGTGGGGACTAGACCGTGGGAACTACACTATGAGGAATAGACCATGGGAACTAGACTATGGGGACTACACTATGGGGACTAGACCGTGGGAACTACACTATGGGGACTACACTATGGGGACTAGACTATGAGGACTAGACCGTGGGAACTACACTATTAGGACTAGACGGTGGGAACTACACTATGAGGACTAGACCGTGGGAACTACACTATGAGGACTAGACAGTGGGGACTACACTATGGGGACTACACTATGAGGACTAGACCGTGTGAACTACACTATGAGGACTAGACCGTGGGGACTACACTATGGGGACTAGACCTTGGGAACTACACTATGAGGACTAGACCATGGGAACTACACTATGAGGACTAGACCGTGGGAACTACACTATGAGGACTAGACTGTGGGAACTACACTATGAGGACTAGACCGTGGGAACTACACTATGAGGACTAGACCGTGGGAACTACACTATGAGGACTAGACCGTGGGGACTACACTATGAGGACTAGACCGTGGGGACTACACTATGGGGACTAGACCTTGGGAACTACACTATGAGGACTAGACCGTGGGAACTACACTATGAGGACTAGACCGTGGGGACTAGACTGTGGGAACTACACTATGAGGACTAGACCGTGGGAACTACACTATGAAGACTAGACCGTGGGAACTACACTATGAGGACTAGACCGTGGGGACTACACTATGGGGACTAAACCGTGGGAACTACACTATGAGGACTAGACTGTGGGAACTACACTATGAGGACTAGACCGTGGGGAATACACTATGGGGACTAGACCATGGGAACTACACTATGAGGACTAGACCATGGGGACTACACTATGAGGACTAGACCGTGGGAACTACACTGTGAGGACTAGACCATGGGGACTACACTATGAGGACTAGACCGTTGGGACTACACTATGAGGACTAGACTGTGGGGACTACACTATGAGGACTAGACCGTGGGAACTACACTATGAGGACTAGACCGTTGGGACTACACTATGAGGACTAGACTGTGGGGACTACACTATGAGGACTAGACCGTGGGAACTACACTATGAGGACTAGACCGTGGGAACTACACTATGAGGACTAGACCGTGGGAACTACACTATGAGGACTAGACCGTGGGGACTACACTATGAGGACTAGACCGTGGGGACTACACTATGGGGACTATGCTCCACGCTCTGTTGCCTGTTTCCAGGCATGATGGTCCTGGTATTGACATTGTAATTAGCACCTTGTGTGAGGTGATCTCTCTGTATAATTAGCATAATTAGGGTAATCATTATCTGCTTGGATGTCCATTAAGATTGAGTTGGTGAACAAAGAAGCTGCTTTTGATTGACTTAATTTTGTTTGACTTAATTTTGTTTGTTTGTTTTACTCCTATCCATGGCTATATGCCAGTGGAAATCATTGAGATTGTATACACATATGAATTTAAATGTATTGTTAACATATGGAGGCATCAGTCAGTAATGTGACTTTTTCTATATGTTTTTCATACTTCTTGTTGCAATTTTCCTGATTTGTTTGTTTGTTATTTTCATATATAATGTTGAAACAAACATATTGCAGTTGTTAACATGTAAATGGTTCCTATTTTTTATCTTGTACAATAAGCGTTGACTTCAATGTTGACGACGTGTTGTGAGTAGTTACAGTGATTACATCGGTTTGATGTCAGGCCACCAAACTAACATTGTGTTCCTGATTAAAGAGTGACCCGACCTGTGAACAGGGAGTCCCATGTAACATTTGATGCACTGATATACTGCAGGCGTGTGAGTAAGTTAACATGAAACTGCACTGCATTCAGGACAGTGTTCCACAGAAGCCACTGTACCTGTTAACCTTCACTCGTGGTGCAACATATTCTCATGCCATGATTGAGTACAAAGTGGGGATTCTGTGGCAGTGTGTCCTAGGTATTTATAGAGGAGGAGCTCCAATGAAGATTCTGTGGGAGATATGTCCTAGGTACTTCTAGAGGAGGAGGTCCCAGTGGGGATTCGGTGGCAGATATGTCCTAGGTATTTATAGAGAAGGAGGTCCCAGTTGGGATTCTGTGGCAGATATGTCCTAGGTATTTATAGAGAAGGAGGTCCCAGTTGGGATTCTGTGGCAGATATGTCCTAGGTATTTATAGAGAAGGAGGTCCCAGTTGGGATTCTGTGGCAGTGTGTCCTAGGTATATATAGAGAAGAAGGTCCCAGTTGGGATTCTGTGGCAGATATGTCCAAGGTATATATAGAGGAGGAGCTCCAATGAAGATTCTGTGGGAGATATGTCCTAGGTATTTCTAGAGGAGGAGGTTCCAGTGGGGATTCTGTGGCAGATATGTCCTAGGTATTTATAGAGAAGTTCTCAATGGGGAATCCGTGGAAGATATGTCCTAGGTATTTATAGAGCAGTTCTCAATGGGGAAGCTGTGGAAGATATGTCCTAGGTATTTATAGAGAAGTTCTCAATGGGGAATCTGTGGAAGATATGTCCTAGGTATTTATAGAGCAGTTCTCAATGGGGAATCTGTGGAAGATATGTCCTAGGTATCCATAGAGCGGTTCTCAATGGGGAATCCGTCGAAGATATGTCCTAGGTATTCATAGAGCAGTTCTCAATGGGGAATCTGTGGAAGTTATGTCCTAGGTATTCATAGAGCAGTTCTCAATGGGGAATCTGTGGAAGATATGTTCTAGGTATTTATAGAGAAGTTCTCAATGGGGAAGCTGTGGAAGACATGTTCTAGGTATTTATAGAGAAGTTCTCAATGGGGAATCTGTGGAAGTTATGTCCTAGGTATTCATAGAGCAGTTCTCAATGGGGAATCTGTGGAAGATATGTCCTAGGTATTCATAGAGCAGTTCTCAATGGGGAATCTGTTGATATGTCCTAGGTATTTATAGAGAAGTTCTCAATGGGGAATCTGTGGAAGTTATGTGCTAATTCATTTCCTAGGTCGTCAGTATTCCCATGAAACCATTTGTTTTAATTTCATGTTTAACATACTGTTTAATTTGACATTTTATCATAATGTGCCAAGTTGTCAAGTTGGACAAGTTTATTTATAGATAAACAGCTTGTTTATTCATTTTCTTACAATTGCTTGATAGAGGTGTTATAAGCTGCACCGAAATGTCACTTCAATTGTAATACCAAAGTTCAGTGAAACTTAAATGTTGATGTTTATTCTGATTCAATACTTCTCTGCGACAATATCAGACAACACCTCAATAGAGGTGAACCCTGAGCACATTTTGACTGCCCAATCAAAATGAAGGATGTCTGGCTGCTTGAGCCAATCAGATGTCAGCTTAGCATCTTGATTCAGGAATTACAATCTCAGCAAATGAAAAACCATCACAGAACACCAATATACACTCGAATGTATCGGAATGTAAGATGATTTTAATTAGATTGTAAAGGATTTGATCAATGTGCCAAATGTTACATGTTTCAGTATAAAAATATTGACATGACGTACAGCACAACAAATAAGAAAAAAACACTGATAGAGCATATGGTCATCTGTCCTTGACCTCCAAATATTATATCACTATGGTGATAACAGTAATAGCACACTGACTGGGATACAGCGTGACAGACATATTAGTATTCTACTCATAACCTGCACTCAGCATTTCAGCATTTCAGTGGACAGTATTGTGCAGGCACGCCATACTTGTCAATTCATCAATACTGGGCGAACAGTTCACCTGCAGACCTACTCCAACCGGAGAAATGAAAGCAGACCGAATTGATGTGTGTTAATGTCAGCTTCCTGGGTAGTATTCCGAATTATTTGTGCTCATTGGGATAATGTCTTATCTTCATATTTTGTCCCCAAATGGGTAAACTGTGGGGGTTGGTTGGGATGTGGGTGTTTGCTGTGATAGTGTTCCTGTCTGATGTCCTGTGTGGGGAGATGTGATGGTTGGTTGGGCTTGAGATGGACATGGTGAGTGGGTGTTTGCTGTGATGGTGTTCCTGTCTGACTTCCTCCGCAGGGAGATGTGACGGTTGGTTGGGGTGGAGATGGACATGGTGAGTGGGTGTTTGCTGTGATGGTGTTCCTGTCTGATGTCCTGTGTGGGGAGATGTGATGGTTGGTTGGGGTGGAGATGGGATGTGGTGAGTGGATGTTTGCTGTGATGGTGTTCCTGTCTGATGTCCTGTGCGGGGAGATGTGATGGTTGGTTGGGGTGGAGATGGGATGTGGTGAGTGGATGTTTGCTGTGATGGTGTTCCTGTCTGATGTCCTGTGCGGGGAGATGTGATGGTTGGTTGGGGTGGAGATGGGATGTGGTGAGTGGATGTTTGCTGTGATGGTGTTCCTGTCTGATGTCCTGTGCGGGGAGATGTGATGGTTGGTTGGGGTGGAGATGGGATGTGGTGAGTGGTTGTTTGCTGTGATGGTGTTCCTGTCTGACTTCCTGTGCGGGGAGATGTGATGGTTGGTTGGGGTGGAGATGGGATGTGGTGAGTGGATGTTTGCTGTGATGGTGTTCCTGTCTGACTTCCTGTGCGGGGAGATGTGATGGTTGGTTGGGGTGGAGATGGGATGTGGTGAGTGGATGTTTGCTGTGATGGTGTTCCTGTCTGACTTCCTGTGCGGGGAGATGTGATGGTTGGTTGGGGTGGAGATGGACATGATGAGTGGGTGTTTGCTGTAATGGTGTTCCTGTCTGATTTCCTGAGAATTTGAAAAGGGTATTATCAATCTCAATGAAAATGACGCAGGAAATCTTTCGATAGCCTAGCCAGTTCAAGGTGAGCTATCTGCAATGCAGAAGTGTAAGGCCACACTTTTTCAATTTTATGTTTCACGGATTTATTCCAGCTTTTCCACTAGGTTGGTTGAAATAAAATGAAACAGATATGTCAATCATTTATTTTTTATTTATATGAAAGTCATTCTGCATTTGGATTTTTTGAATCACTGACATGGAATTTATTTATAACAATTTTTATTGTATAAGAGGGTGTTTGTATTACTCACGGGAGACATAATAAAAATATATATTTTCATGTTTAATTTATTTCTTGGACCGGCTGCTTTTCAGCAGAGGTGGCGGATCCGTGAAATGAAAAACATAAAAAATGTGTGGCCTAAAGAAACATGTAGCCATGACATACCCAGTATTACATGAAAATATCATTAAAATGTTTGGCATGCTAAAAAACGTTATATAGTGTTTAACATGTTTAAAGTAATGAAAGTGTTATTAACATGAAAAATGACCTGAAAGTGTAAACAAATTTTGGATGTTGAAATTGATTATTTCAAGAAGGGCGGAATTAAATGTAAATTGTGCTCTAAAAATAGTACTGTAATTAATTATGTAATGTGTCTATCCCTTTAGCGATTGATTACAGGAGGTGGTCTCCATCCCTACAGTAATTAATTGCCTGAGGTCATACAATGTCATATGTCCTAGAAATGCACAAAATACTTCAGTTGTGAAACTGGAATCACGTTGACTGTCAATCAGCTGACCGATAAACACCCTGATATCAGAAGAAATTATTATACCATCTGCCTGATTGCCAACATGGCTACCCAAAAGAAATCCACGTATTGGACACATGAGATTATTCTAAAAGAAAGTTGGAATGTTCGAATCTTTGTATTTTGTGTCATCAATTTGTCAAAGAGTCTTCCTGTCATCTTCAAGGATAAAGTTTAAAAGTTACCTTGGAGGGTGCTGCTATCAAAGTCTTAAGATACATATTATACTCTGTTCCTCTACAGACTGCCTCGGTGATCTAGTGGTAGAGCATCCGCCCAGAAAGCAGAAGGTCCGGGGTTTGATCCCCGGCCATGTCATACCAAAGACGTTAAAAGTTGATACTTGTTGTTACCCTGCCTGGTGCTCTACATTGAGGGGATAAAACAAGGCCTCGAACTCTGCATACTGTGTCTGAGAGGGGTATTCATGTAAAACTGCAGCATGGTATCTCAGTGGGCTAGCACTATAACATCGGCATTAGTCCGGACTAGTACAAGCAGCCACCAACACCCGTGCATGTAGCTATCTATGTGCAATAATCTTGGATGCAACGTTATAACCCATTTCACCTCACCTGTTCATCTATAATAGCATATTTTCCACTTTCCACACAGCATGATCGAAATGCAAAAATGGTGGCCTCTCTGCAGTGTTCAAAATAGCTGGTGCCCCCTCATCATGTTGCCAGTAATTTTCTAGGGGGTCCAGTAATCTCTCAAGCCTGCGATCCCACCCGTCTAGAAAAATATGCTGAAGTCGAAGTTCGAACGAACAATTAAACGTATCAACTTATCTCAATGTTATTTTTATTCTCTACCCCATAAATGCTGTAGCTAGTTAATGTCTAATATGCACCGATGAGAACAGCATAGATCTACATGTACAGATTTATGGCACTGCTATAAACTTGTAAACAGTAAGTGTGTGATGGCACAATCAAAGTTGTACAACTTACTTTGGGGATGTCCAATTGCATGGATTGATGCTCATGATATTAATCACTGGATTGTCTGGTCCAGACTCGATCATTTACAGACCGCCGTCATATAGCTGGAATATTGCTGAGTGCGGCATTAATTAACCAACCAACCAACCAACCTTTGGGGATGTAGATACGTTGATAAACCTGAGAAGAGTGTCGATGATGAACGTGGAGGGCACAAGCAGTTCGACAGGAGTGAACAATGTTAAAAACTTACAACCTGAATTGTCACTGAGTTATGATAGAGCTAGCTGTAAACTAAAGGTGGATTTAATCCAAAGTCTAAATAAAGAATTATTTTTTTGTCTTATTTTTCAAGTTACTGTTTTATACTTATGAATTTCTTTTTGAAATATTTGGGCCAGTACTCTTTGCTGTATACTTGCACAAGTCTCCAAGGCAGTAATTATTTGTTTATATCATTATTTCTAGATTATATAGATAATAAGAACAGCTTATCAAGACTTGCCTATTAGTAAGAAAGCATTACTATACACCCATAGACTTATCATTCAGTACAGCCTTGGAGCAAGGCTCTCTTTTCTGTGTCGCCTCTATTAGCTACAAGATTGCTGCTGTGACGTTAAACAGTAATCACTCACTCACTCACTCTCACTCACTCACTCACTCACTCACTCACTCACTCACTGCTGTTGATAGTATCAATGAATGGCTGGTCCCGCCCACTGGATGGCTAGATATGTGACTTATTTCATTCATGGACTCTCTGTGTAGGCTCCACCACAGTGCTGCTGCGATATCTATTCACATAATGTATTATTGATCACTATGTTGTTTTAAATGTTTGCACCTGGCCCTAAGTGGGTGTATGTGTACAATAGGATTATCTTATCTTACAGGAAGTACAACAAATGCTTCTATAATGTGTGGGATTCTGCAACTTCAGTCACTAGTCCGAAGCTCAAGTGTATTGAAACCTTTATAGGCCTAGGGTGGTCATCTAAGAAAGGCCATGTTAATATTAAAATCTGTACTAAAAATGATGCTAAGAGAAAGTTGGGTCCACCAGCCTCAGATGTGATGGTCTCTGAGATTGGTGGTTCTATTAGTATGTCCCAGAATGCAACAGACATGCGCTTTGGAAATACCGTTCCTGGTTTGCGTGATGTGGTATGTAAGGCTTGTAAGAAGTTTACGTTGTAGTTATAAATTAAAGGCAGTTTACCAGACATTGGTATGTTGAGAGGTCCTTTACTTCCTGTTATCTCCCTGTCAGTGTTGTCTGGAGTCTAGAACATGCTCTTGTTCAGTTGATGGTCAGTTGATCTTCCCAGGATATGAAAGTTAACTGACTATTATAAAAGTCCAGTTTCTACCCTAGCAGAACCAGGCTGGAATTCTGTAGTTACATTCTGGCTGGACTAACGAGTCTATGCATAGTCTAATCAAAATCGCGTGACGAACTAGACGTCCGATTTGTAAACAACATGGATTTCAAAGTGGGTGTCAACAGATATTTTGGAAATCTTTTCATGTTTTTAATTAAGGCGCTCGAGTGATTTGATGCACTTCGCGAGGTAAGACCCTTTAGATCTTGATTATCAATCAGATTATGTCAGGTGGAATCTGATTGGTCAGTCAGAGGGGGGAGAGAAGAGGGCATAACTGGTAATATCCACTGGTAGCGCTACAATCGAGCCAAAGAATTCCAGCCTAGTTCGGCAAGGGTGGAAACTGGACTTTTGTAGCCAGTTAATGCCCTTGCCTCAGGAAGACAAAGGAATTTAGCCAATCTAACAGATGCTGGTATCAGGATTTTGTAATTTATGTTAGAGGCTGGAGTGAACCACTATGAAATGTTCACAGTCTGCAGCTGTTGTAAAATCAGCATTAAACTTTAGTAGTAGAACATCTGGAAGGTATGCATGCATCATAGTGGTCATGATGTGCAGATTGGAACTAGGGTCTGTGACATCATGTCCAAATGCTTGAACTGCTGGGCTACCCAAACAAGTTTACATCCATGATCATGTTTCTGACTGGGATGTATGGTTTATCTAATACTGTATAATATCTGGCATCAGGAATAGGAACGGATGTGGACAGAAATTATTGACTTATTATGCTTCTAGTTCACTCCCTTTTTAGCTACCCTATTGGGATTCTGGGTAAGAATAGGTCCCCAGCAACCTCTGCTGGACGTCACAGGTGACTAAAAGGATCAGATGGTCAGACACGGTGAATTGGTTGATGGTGCGTCATCATACCCAATGGCGTGGATCGGTACTCACAATATCAATCACTGGATTGTCTGGTCCAGATAAATAACATCATATAGCTGGAATATTACTGAGGGCTGCATTAACATTGGGGTGAGATGAATCAAAGTTACAGGCATTTTAGCATGTTCATTGGGGTTATGTGTGATACATGGTAAGGACACAAAGCTTGTTTATTCAAACAGAGAATGAAGTCTTTTTGTACAGTAGCCAGGGGAAATCTTTCAATGAGCAGGCCATACTGAATAACTGTAGGGTATCTTCAGGATTTGCAATTCTAATTTTCCACCCAGATGTATGATGACCTCATTTCATGAAAAATCTAAGTTAAAAAAACAAGCGTTAGATGTTTATTCAAATGTGTATAAAAAGTTATTTCTAGCCTTCAGATCCATTAAAGTGATAAACTTCAACTGATATTAAAGAGCTGGTAAAAAGATGACATGTATTGCCTCAACCATTTTGCATATCCATTGCATCTGTTTAGGTACATGTGTACCATGACATTGATAACATAGCGATTATAATAGTCTGTGTCAAAATTACAATGGAAGACTATATGGATATGACTATCAGCTTGATCAGACTTGTTGAACAATGTGTTACATGCATGTATATATGGTAATTCTGTTATTGATATTTGGAAGGGGATTATTGTGGAAATGTGGCAATAATGCAGCCCATTGCATTTTGATTTGAAATTAGTGTAAAATATCACTATAAAAGATCTGTCTATTCATTTTTGTTGTCAATCGAGGGAAGTTTTCAAAAACAAAAATGGCTGTTCTTGTGAGTTTTACCTGCCATCCCAGGTGGTTGTTATAATGGGACACCTGATGCGATACCATGTTATAAATTGTGTGAAAGTAATATTCACCTCAACTAGAGTCGGTATACCAGGCCTCAAAGTTGCCACTAAAACGGTCGCCAATGCGCCCTAAATTTCAAATTGTCCACTGTCTAAAATTTAGAGGTAGTCAAATGGCTACCACATATGTAGACACAAAAATAAATAACAGCTGATCTTTGAAAACTCGACTGCTAATAATTGTACTCGCAAATAATTTTACCTAAAGGTGACAATGAACCAAAATACATAAATATTAATGTAATTAGTATTTTATATTAGTTGACAATGCTTATTGGATAAGCAAGGATATACCTAAATAATCTAGTAACATGAATTGCATCATTGTTCGAGTCACAAATATTCCAAGACTAGTGATATGACTTGTACATATTATAATAGTTTTTTGATAAAAGATGATTTCCTATGTTTTTGGCTACCTACAATAATGGCTTGACTTCTTGATTTTACCACTGGCTACCTGGAAAAAAATACTTGTAGCCATATGGCTACTTGATAAAAAATATAACTTTGAGGCCTGTATACGTGGTATACATGCTCCCATTACAGGGCCACTCTGTCCTGCACCATGTGGAATGTCGGCATCAAAACCAGTTAATTTTTATATATAAAGAGATTTTTTGTTTACACTGTTTGTGATAAATATTAACATCTTCCCGAGGCAAGGGAGTTAACTGACTCTTAAAGTCCTGTTAGGTCCCTTCTTTGCCCCTCTTATTGACCAATTAGATTCCACCTCTCATATTACATACATTTGCTTCAAACAAAATGGTGGCGCCCAGTCAAGACAATCTGATCGATGATCAAGATATATATTGTAATAAGAGGTAGTCTTACCTCGCGACGTGCACTAAATTACACGAGCATCTTCATTAAAAACATGAAAAGATTTGGAAAATATGTCATTGCCCAGTTGATGGTACACATCTATTGCAAATCCTGCAGTTGATGGAAATTGCACTTTGAAATCCATGTTGTTTACGAACCGCAGGTTGATTTCCTTATGTGATTTTGATTGAACGATGCTTAGACTCGTTAACTCCCTTGCGTCGGGAAGATGAAATATTAAAGGCTCACTAAATATTAATAATTAGTTGACATAATCAAATGTGGACTTGTACAATTTCACAGTTTACAGAAGAATGGGCTTCATGAATATCATGCATATTTTAACTCAGCTTTAGAATTATTTAAAAAAATTCAACAGAAATGTATTGTGTAGTAAAAGAATTCATAGACTCTATGTTAGTCTCATTTTCACCTGAACAGAAGTCAGGCAAAGCAAATAATTGGCATGATTGGGGCAAAGTCTGGAGAATGGTATATCTGTACATTAAACTTACTTTAGAGTTATATTGTACAAATAAGTAAAGCACGTCTTCTTTGTACAGCAAACTGGGAGGCAGCTGGAATAGACGGATTGTGAGACAGGATACCTAACTACCAAGAGGGCATTATGGGCGATATACGCGCGTCAGTTTCATGCCACTATAGATAGATTGGCCCAGCTTGACATGGTGGAAACAGGTAGGTAACGAATGTTAATTATATATATTTATCTGTATTAATCATCAGGTGGATATCATTGGTTGACCTGTACTGTTTTATACTGTCTTCCTGGTGTGTGATTGACGGGTTGGGTTCGGCATCAGCTGTGTGTGAAATACATACACATAGCCTCAACTGAATCCTGGGATGTTATATTATTATGTTTACCTTGTGTTCGTTATGTATTACTGTGTTTGCATAGTTTTTTAATATATATCTTTTGGCATGTTGACATCACCACAAACATTTATTGACTTTTTCACTCATTTGAATATTATTTGAGGTTATTTATAAATTTATTTTGAAAGAAATATCATGTGAAAAATTAATTCCACAGTAAACAAGCTATAGAGCTTTCTTGACCTGTAATAAACAGGTTGTTTATGATATATGAATTCTAAGAAGGTGACAGGTTAATGTTCAAAATGGTTCATAATATTTGAAGTACGAATATTTGAAAAATGACCTTTTTGAATTAGTTTCATTTTGACTTCACAAGAAAATGATGATGGATTGGAGTTTGTATATATCAATGTACAAGACTATATATATATATCAGAAGATTTGCTGCACATATGATCTCAGGAAGTGCAGAGGTTTATGATGTGTATTATCAGTGGCAAGTCTTAAACAGTGGAGGTAAAGAGCCGTAGGTTTCCATTACATAAAGGCTCACTTGCTTGTGTTCCATTTGGTGGACATGTGGTAATACACACGAGTCAGCTGGGATGAAATAGATTCAAGCAGCGTGGAAATAAATCACAGGACACATGTGTCTGGCAACACAGACTGCCTCTGTCTGAAGGGGGTTGGGGGGGTCCTGTGTCATATTTAACCATTTAAATGCCAATATTAAAAAGGATGTATATGTTTTAGTAAACAGTTATATGTTTTTATGACATATGTGTATTTTTGTTTCGACATGAATCATGTGAACTGTTAGTCCTGTTTTTAATGAACCTTTATGAATAATATGCTTATTAAATTAAAAAATATCCATATTCTGTATGAATAATTTGATTCTTTAAAAAAGGATCACAGTAGTGAAAGATAGTGTAATTTTTAGAATTAAGGCGTGATTCATTCATGAGCAGCTAAAGGGTTGGGTTTATTCATGGCCAGTGTCGAGGATATGAGTCAGTGCAATAAGTGATAAGGCAGTAGGCGAGTCAGCTCACTGTGGACAGTTCTCTATATGGCTATGTGAGTTACAGCTGCGATTATTCAGTGTATTACATCTCCATTCTGTTCTGGTAAAAAGACTAGGCCCATTGGTCGCCATTAAGAAGGGAAGTCCAATCAATTAACACCACTGAAACCTTGGTATCACCAGTTCTTTTGGTATTACCACACTTTTGCTAGTCCTTCACCATGACCGTGGAATATATTTATTTTATGAAAAAATTAAATCTAGAAATGTATACAAAAGCAAGTCTAGCCAGCTCAAGCTAGCTCTATTAAATCAGCATAGGGATTTTTATTTTATTTTTAGAGTCAAGAAGGATATTGTTTAATATAAGATTTCAGAGACTAAACGTTAGTCTACACTTTGCGTGTTGTCTCAAAAATACAACCAGAGCATATTGCGGATAAGGACTTACGCTTTCTGTCTTAATCTCAGGAAGACATCTTTTCCCCGCAAACATAATTGATAGCAGTATATTTAGAAACTTATTGATGGTACTTTTTGGTCAATCTTTTCTTCAATATGTTCTGAAATTTGGGTTTAGTTAATGAAATTTTACACACTGATGTTATTCTTCATGATCATAAATGAGTTCAGAAGTTGTTGCCTTAGATTATTTTTTTTACAGAGGAAGGCCCTTGCTCCATGCTTTTCAACTTTCTCAGAAACTACTGAAGTTGCATGAATGAAAGTTTGCATGCTTATCAAAGTGTCAAGACTGAGATAGAAAATTAGTCCTGTAAATTATTTTGTTCCATTATTTACAGACAGCCATCATATAGCTGGAATATTGCTGAGAGGGGTGTAAAACAACAAACAAACAAATGAAACATTGGGGAGCAATGACACAAAAGTATGTTTTCACATATGGTTGCAATTAAAACTAAACTTGAAAAGATATGGTTTGAGCAACATTGAGAAAGGATGGTGCAGGCAAAGTTTTACCTTCCCACACTTTTGACATATGAGAAAATAGCAAAACAAGTTCAAGCAGACCCATCATACATGGATCACAGGCCAATGTTTTGGCCAATTTGACAAGTGTCACTTACCACTTGGCTGGTCAAAGCCAAAACAACCATTGCTTCAGCTGTCTAGGCAAGGGTTGGGGACCGACAGCACTCCAAAGAGGGGGGTCTCTTCCTTGTGACAAACTTCTTACAACTACATGACCCACTAGCCCGAACACTGACCCCAACAGCTGAAAGACTTTCACTCTTTTGCCCTCTGATGAAGCTGAACCTTGGCATTAAGTAAGAAGACATCTTATCTTTTTTCAAAACAAAGTGTGTTTATTGTAAGACTTTTTTATTAAAAGTATTTTAATAAAATCAAATTTAAAAAAAGTTGAAAATCTTAAGAAAACTATAGGAAGATGCAAGTTTGTTCAAAGCATCACTATTTTAGCTCAACACCATTGCCCTAAACGATGTTACACAAATATGTTGTTGTTTTTTTCTCTGGAATCCTTGACTTTTGCACCAATTCTTTTGTAACATGCTGTTGATGTTTTCACTAAAATAAGGTTGAAATATCAAAATATTGTTACTTGTAAGTTAAGTGAACTACAGAACATTGTATCTCAACATTATGTTTTGGGGGGTCGAGGGAATCTGTAAACCATGTTTAAGAATAATTCTTGTAACTGCATGTGTAAATTGTGTTGCTAGTCAGTATCATTGTAACAGGCTAGCTTATCTTGTACAGTTATCTGTACAGTAAGTTGTGTATCTGTGTGGAGGTTCAGTATCTCTGACTCACCTCAGTGTACTAGGAAATACGGGAGTATTGTAAGAGGCGTGATAGGAGTTTCTTGACAAGGAGGCATTGACACTGAGTGACACGCTGGTATATCTCTATGTAATGTTCAGTTTTGTGGACACAGATAGTGGCCTACTTGCATGCACATTGACTGCAGTACATTTGATAAGGTGTATTCCTAGAGGTGACAACTGCTGTCTTTGTGTGGTCTGGGGTGACATGCAGTAGCGAAAGGACGAAGGTTTGATCACACTGCTTGGCATGTCTGAATGTGTTTCATATCTAAGGTGTTTATTGAGGTGGATGCATTGATTTTTTTAACTGCATTCAGTACCTTTTCGTTATGTTTCTTAAAGGATTGCTTTGTATGTTGAGAGGATTGGATTTCAATGTATGTCAAGTGAATGCCTGCAGACTGAATGAATTGTATGTGTTTATATTGTTGGTATTTCACAAAATGTGGTTTCAGTGATTCAGTCGATGGATGTCAGTGTGTTCATTACACTGCAGTTAAAATGTCGTCACATCTGTAACATGTATTCATTAAAGCTCATGAAAAAAAGAAAAGAATTCTTTATGCTCTCACTGACTGGTGTCTGTTGTTCAGGGAATCTTACATGAAATACAAGGATGTTTTAGGGGTTGGGATGTGGGTGGGTTGGGGTTGGGTTTGGGGTATTGGGGTTGGGTTTGGGGTATTGGGGTGTTTAAGTGTTGAAACATTGGCATTACCAGTATTATTCCCGTGAAGATCTGGGTTAGAATTGGTCTTCAGCAACCCATGCTTGTAAGAGGCATCTTACAGAATCAGGTTGTCAGGCTCAGACGCTGGAATATTGTTAAGTGTGACAACAAACAAACCGAAACAAAACAAAGGATTGTTACCTCTGTTGTATTGTTAAGATGGATTCGCTATTGAAATGTTCTGTGAAGTGAATGCAAAAGGTTGGGCTCTGATCTCACAGAGTATGTGTGCTCAACTTTTCTTCTTTTTTAAAATTTCTTTGGAGGGAGTGCATGTGTCCTTTATTTGCAAGATGAAGCTCTGGTAGCAGGCTCTTGTGTTTTTTAATGGTATTTTTACAGCCTGCAGCTGTAGGCTGTAGTATGTTGATGAAGCTCAGGAAATTAACAGCTATAATTAGGGTAACTGCTGCTGGAATAGTTTGCACTGCTCTCAGGCAGAAACCAGTAAATTATTCTGACGTCAGAGAGAAAAAAACTATCCGTTTGCCCCAACAGTGTCCTTTTAATGGGAAGTTCAGCTTTCAAATAACATCTTAAGGGAAATATCCTGTTTGATATTTTGAAGGGAATCTATTCTGAAAAATGGTTATCAATAGTTGTGTGTAAATGCCAGAAAAACAAGTGCTGTGTTCAGGGACTTCCTGGTGTGTCGACTGACTCAGTCCATGGACCAGCTGTTGTCACCAGTAATACATGTCTGGGAGACTGACATACAGTCTAGCAACTCTTTTATTACGCAACACATTTCTCTATTTATTTTTTAATGCTGACTTCATGTGGAATACAATCAGCCATACATGTCGGTTTGTGATCTGCATTGAATTGGGTTTAAGTCCATGCAGATATTCCACGTTAATGGTGCAGGGATAGTTGTTTATTTATACATGTGTAGATTGTGTGGAGGCCCAATAGATGGGCGAGCCTCTTTCTTTAGTTTTAAAGAAACAATTACAAGCCTATTGTCGTAAAACAACCCCAACCCCCCACCCCACCCCACCCCCCCCCCCCCCACCAGATGTAGTAAGTTGAAGTTGAAGACAATCTCTCTCTTTTGTCTCGCTCCCTCCCCCCCCCTGAGAGAGGGTTTCGATATTTTGGATCCCTCCCTCTATAACCAAATACCAAATGTTGTAAATGGTAGAGGATGCCCCCTCTACTACTACTCTTCAACAGGGTGGTCTTGTGGTCAAAGTGTTCACTGGTCATGCAGTAGAAATGGGTCCAGTTGAAGCCTATTCTTGGCTTCTGTGGGTTGGAATAGTTCTGTTCCCTGTCTCTCTCGCCT